TTCAGAAGTGGGGCTGGAGCACAGTGGCTGCCAGCCACAGTAGTCGACTAACCGATAAGAATTCTTGAGGTTACTCGACTATTCAATTAACCAATATTTAAAATCCCTACTATCTACCTCTCCCCCTAGCTAAGTGTCATCTCCAAACTTGTTCAGGTGCAATCCATCCCCTCATCCAGGTCATTAATAAAGATGATGAACAAAACCAGCCCTAGAACCCACCCTTAGGGCACTCTGCTTGATACTAACTGCCAGTCAGATATCGAGCCATTAATCACTACCTAGTGAGCCTGACAATCTAGCCAGCTTTCTATCCACCTTACAGACCATTAATCCAATCCATACTTACTTAACTTGCTTCCATGAATACTGTCGGAGACCATATCAAAAGCTTTGCTAAAGTCAAGGTATATCATATGCACCAACTTTCCCATATCCACAGAGCCAGTTACCTCATCATAGAAGGCAATCAGGTTGGTCAGGCATGATTTGCCCTTGGTGACTCCTGATCACTTTCCTCTCTTCCAAGTGCTTCAAAATGGATTCCTTGAGGATCCCCTCCATGATTTCAGCTAAGAGACGTCTAGTCTACAAAATGGTTTTTGTTCAACTTTTCAAGTTATATTACAGTACAAGATTTATCCGGAGTTGCTCGGGTCCTTAACTCAATTAATTTACTTTCTTCATTGAAATCGTTGCTCTGGGGCGGGTCTGGGATGAGGGGTTCAGTGTGCAGGCAGCCCCGGGGAGAGAGAATAACCCCAGCTCTCTCAGCAGCTTGGGCCTAGGAGAGAAGCACGTCTTTATGACCGCTGCAGTTGCAGTGAGCACAGTTGAGGAAAGAGATGCATGTCCCCTGGCTGGAGGACAGACACACAAGCAGACAAACTCTCTGAAATATATCGTAGATAGCTGTCCCCTTCTCTACCCCATCCCCTGCTGCCCCAATGGGGTTATAGCTACCTGGGTCCCCATCTCTGGCCCCTTTCTGCTTCCCACCCCATGGTTATTATTATACAGTATAACTGTCCCTGCTTTCCATCCCATATCCTCTGTGTTCCCATGTGGTCATTATATAGCAGAGCCCTCCCCTTTCCGTTTTATGATAAACAACCCCATTTCAGGCACATCCCATTTTCCTGGGACAACAACCCCTGACCTAACACATAGATGTTTTATAAACACATTTCTGTCCTAGCAAGCTACAATGTGTTTATAAACATCTATGGATTATCTTTATAATTACTATTGTGGTAGTGCCTGGAGCCTCTATATAAGGATCAGGGTCTCCCTTTACTGGGCTTTGAGGATTTGTATTGTTTATGCAAAGGTACTGGACATGTCACCAACCCCCGTCCGTTTCTGGAGGGGAGAGAATTGTAACTTCATACTACAAGTCAGACTACATTGCTAAATCCTTATCCATCACCTTTTGCAGCAGGATGGAAATGAAACGCACTGGGCTTCGGTTAGGATGCCAAATTCAGGGTTAACTTCACCTCAGCTGCACATGGTCTCAGAATTATTTTAAAAGTTAATATGCAGCTTACAGTAACTGCCAAGCAAGTCTGTATAATCAAGGGAGCCATTTAACACATGAAAAGTAAAGAACATTCAACTTGAATAGAGCTGCCTTTCATTTGTGCCAAAGAAATGCATGAAATCTCCTAATAGCTACGTTAAAAAGGCTTTTCTTTGGGGCACATTGTAATGAATCTTTGTTTCTTTCATTCTCTCGCAGCACCCGCTAGCCTTGCACTAATGAGAACGACTGAAGCTATAATTTCCTCCCCTCATAAGTGCTTCATGGGCTCAGCTGACCTTTAGAAAGCACATTCTTTTCTCTTGACCATTTTCCTTAATGACAGCTGCTCTCTCAGAGCACACTCTGTGGTCTGGGACCTCTTGCGCACAGCAAGGCACCATTTGTACAGAGAGGAGTGAAACGCAGGGAGACGGGCAGCTCAGAAGACCACACAGGCACTGCCTCCACAAGAGGGGTGGTGGCAAGTGTACAAGAAAAACATGATTAATCATGGGCAAAAAGCACACTTGGACTTTTCATTTAACTCTGCCCCAGATTGCACTGTTCTGTTCTGAACTAGAGCAGCAGCAAAGTCGAGAGCTTCAAATCAGGACTCCAATTTTCTCTAGTCCCTGCCATTAACTCTGTGTGTGGTCTTGGGCAAATCACATGGAACCACATCTATTCTGCTGATGCAGTTAATTGCAAGGGTATATAATCTGAACAAAGACATCTCCGTGGCCATTTACTCTTTGGCCAGTTACTTAATTATGCACACATCCATGGTAACTGTGCATGCCAATGAGGTTTGCGAGCTAGCTTGCCTTTGTACATACATCCTAAAAAAATCAAGACCTGAACCTACCTATGCCCAATGTAATCAACCGTCTAAAGGAAAAATCAAGACCTGAACCTCCCTATGCCCAATGTAATCAACCGTCTAAAGGCCATTCCTACTTCACCGGTGTGTTACAAGCATTCATTAATGAATGTCCACAAAGGATTTGGGGGCCGTGGCAGAAAGCTGTTCTACAAATACCAAGTGGAACTTACAGAATTTCAAATTCTAAAGAGCTGTAAAGATTAGCCCTGAGCTTCCAAGCAGGAATCAGGAAAGGTATGTTGACAGTGTCTGAGTGAGAAGGGACAAGATATCCCTGATCCACAGATCCAGTCTAGGAAGAAGCCAGAAGCCAATTAGAGGTCAGCTTCTCAAAGTGAGAAGTGGCCAAGATATATCTACAGCAGGGGCATAGCCATGAGTGAAACTGGGGGGGAGGGAAGTGTGATAGAAATGTAGCCGTGTTGTTGGGGGGGAGGGGAGGGAGAAAGGGTATCATAAAGGCCCACTCTGGGGGAGGGGAAGGAGAAAGGGTATCATAAAGGCCCACTCCCCCCACCCTTGCCTCTTCTCTGGCTGGAGCATAAGGGCTTGTCCTGCTCAGCCTGCCTAGTGCTCCTGACAAGGAGCAGACTGGGGGGCTTGCAAGCCTCTGTGCCCCAACCCAATTCCCATGCTGGGAGCACCAGGCAGCAGAACAGGGCAAGCCCTGGCATTGCAACCCCCATTCCCAGCAGGCAGAACAAGTGGGGACAAAGTGGTTAGGGGGTGCAAGGCACACATTTTTATGAAACTAACATGTAGATACAAATATGCATAACTTGAAGATGCTTTTGACAAAATCCCTCAAGTAACCTACCAATTTTAATGTCAAAATCTGCTGGATCTGTAGAGCTTATTTTGGTGTGTATATCACTCTTGTGTGTAAAGTTAATGATATTTGGTAGGTTATGCTTGATGGTTTTAAATGTGCAAATGAAAGCCATCAAGGGTGTTTCCCTCTAGGTCTGGGTGATCACCTGTAAACAGCCACCTTTGTCCTTTAAGGCTAAGCAGTGGTTGGCCTTAGGAAGACCTGTGACCATGCTAACTGGTAGGAGCTGACCAGGTAATTATCCATGGAAGGGGGGGGTGGGGAAGGGATATAGAAACAGACATCCGGCCCAAAAGGAAATCTACTTGAGATGCAACATTTTCAGACTCTTTGTCTTTGGCTGGCATGTTACTCCCGAGAGAATGAACCAGAGAACCTGGACTTGAAGGTTTAGCTGAAATAAGTTTGCTATAAGCTTTCAGGTGCTAGAACTAGCTATGTGTTTTTTGTTATTTTAAATTTGTAATTTACTTTGCTCTGCATGTTTTCACTTGCAACCACTTAAATCCCACTGTGTATGCTTAGTAAAATCACTTTTATTTACTATCAAGCCCAGTGTAAATAATTGTTTACCTTGGGGGAGCAATCAGTGTGCACATCCTCCTTTCATTGTTAAGGGATGCTTACCTGAATGATTTATTTGGGAGTTCTGATACCATTTGGGGAGTGGGTTTCCAGGAAGCTGTGCCCAAGACTATATTACCATTTGGGGAGTGCGTTTCCAGGAAGCTGTGCCCAAGACTATATTCTCCTCAGACCTGAAGAGGTTCAGTCTTTGTATTGCTCTTCGGGGGAGAGGGGTGGTGATCTCGGCTCTGTGCATTGGCTAGGGGAGACTAGGAATCTGGCCCAGCAGGCACGGTGGTGAGAAGCCCTAAAGAGCAAGGTGGCTTTGTCCAGTACTCCAAGAAGCAGCCCCAACCGGTCTTCTGTAACTGCACCCCATCACAGGGGCTCCCATTTTTACAGAGGCCCCTGGCCAGAGCATCTATTGCTCCCCCAAAGCTAGCTGGGGCAGGGGAAAGGCAGCCCCATGCCTGTTATTGCCCCACTAATTGCCCACCCACCTAATGTCAGGGTCCACCCATCTGTAGCATTATGGTTACACCACTGTTCTACAGGTAAACCATTACATATACAGCTTGCAATCCACAGAGGGTCAGAGTCTATAGTGCCCCACGTAAGGCAGCTGCATGTTAGCTGAGGCTGTGTGGCCTTCTGAAAGTGAAGTTGTTCTATAAACCATCAGCATCTTCTCTCTGCTGCTATTTTAAGCATGTCCTCCCTTTTATACCTAAGAGGATCCCAAGAGCCCAGTATCCTTTTCTCCGCAGCAATTAATCCCATGTCATCATCTTAATTTGACTTCAGTGGTTGAAAGGGCAGTATGTAACTATATATAAATTGTTTATGTGCTTATAGCTATCTGTCTGTAGTTGGATTCATCTTATTCTTTCACCTTAAAGGTTTTGCACCAACTTTTCATTAAAATCCCACTCTCCTAATTAAGCATATTAAAACAGCATTGTAGACAGCCTGGACATTCCTGCAAGCTCAAGAGCTTATTTATAAATTTCACAGGGGAAAACAAGGATTTTTTTATTATTATTATTATTATTATTATCTGGCATTCCAAGGCAGCAGATGAAAAAAAACCACAATAATTGTGTTTAGTGTAACTAGTTATTAAGAACAGCACAGCATCTTCACCGTGCAATGTGGAAAAGTGAATGTCCTTAAGCAGTGGATTACTTTTTTAGGAGTTCGCTTGAGGACCTCGTGCTGAAATCTGCCACCTGCCACGAACCTGAGAAAATCCAGAACAAAGGGAACTGCAGTTATTTGAGATATTGCTGCTCACTCATCCACAGCATTGAGCCCAGGATCTTTGGGATCTGAAGAGACTGGAAATGCTGTTCTGCAGCTGGAGGGATCTAATCCAGTGCAAAATGAGACCCTATACTTTACTGTGGCAAATTCATGCATGTGAGATAACAATTAAAGACTATTGTCATGGGACAGGTACGCCCAGACCCCTCCGAATCAGGGCGTTGAGCCTATCAGGATCCTAAATACGTGCACCACCCCATGAGTGGTACCAACCCCAATACTCCCATACAGGAGTTCAACCTAGCAGACAGACAAAGTCAGTAGCAGGGCCCAGCAGCCTAAGTTAATAGTAAGTCCCAGTTCCCCAGGCCTGGTGGCCAAGGTTAATAACAATCCCCTATTCACAAAGCAATAGGGCCCAGCAGCCCGAGTCTACAACAGCCCTCGATTCGTGGGGTAGTAAGGACTGGTGGCCAATGTCAATAGTCCCAGTGGTAGCATCCCCTTAGGGTAGAAAGAAAGTGGGGTAGAGCAACCCGGGCCATCCCTCTCCACCAGGTCCCAGCCCACTGTGAGTGGTGGGCACGCCCTACCATTAGCTCAGCGGGGAATCTACCCACAACATGCTGAGGTGAATTTCTCCTCTTAACAGGGATTCCAAAAAGGACTATTGACACACTTCTATTTTTCTAATACTGCACTCACATCTAGTATTTTGAGGCCTTCGGATGGAGGAGAACCAATCTGGGTTTTTATAAGTAATATTAGAGATGGGCCCAAACCAAAAACCTCAGATTTGACTCCAAGGCTCTGCAAGGTTAGGGACATTTGGATCTGTCATTTTACTTTGGGCTCAGTTCTAATTATATTTGAGGCTGAGTAATATATAATATATAACTTAGGTTCATTTTACAGTGAAGAAATATAAATCCAGACAAAAATGCCCCAAATTCTTCTCACCAATATAAATGCCAAAGAGCACTATTGGAAGTTCAAATCTGCTTTCATTTATGGCATAAGAGTGATGCCACTGAAGTCAGCGAATTTACACAGTTGTAAAAATCAGTGAAAGTGAAAGAAAAATCCAGCCATTAAAATTTCTTAAGTGGGCTCTCCTCAGACCCCATCAGAAGATCTGTGCAGACTAGGACTGATAAGTGATTTTTAAAATTGAGATTACTCGCACAATTAAAAAATTAAATTGTGGTTAATCATGCAACTAATCAAATTTTAAACAATACAATGCTATTAAATATTTTGGATATTTTCTACATTTTTAAATATATTGATTTTGATTACAACACAATACAAAGGGTATTTTTATATTTGAAAATGTAGAAAAACATCTAAAAATATTTAATAAATTCCAATTGGTATTTTATTGTTTAACAGTGGGATTAAAACTGTGATTAATCACAATTAATTTTTAAATCTTGATGAATTTATTTAGTTAATGGCCTGATTGAACTGTGATCAATCAACAACCCAATTTCAGACTAAAGTCCTTAGTCCCTGCCACCAAAAAATGACTTCTTAGTTTGACTTTTGGCACTGACATGTACAATTACAATAGACCTCAAAAGAAAAGAGAAGTAATATTTGTCTGCTGTGTATCCTAGCATGCAAAACATGTGTTGATTTGGCAGGTAATACAGACTATTTACTACTATATTCCTTTCTAGGAGGAATAACTCCTTTTGCGCAAGAGCTCTTACGCAAAAAGGTGTGTGAGGATGGGAAACGGGGGGGTTTTGCGCAAGAAGTGCCAATCGTAAAAAGCACAGGTGCTCTGGTGATTATTCTGTGAATAGCAATCAGAGCTTTTTTGAGAAAGAGCATCCACGCAGTGTGGATGCTCTCTTGCGCAAAAGCGCATTGCTTTTGCGAAAGAAAGAGCATCCATGCAGTGTGGATGCTCTCTTGCGCAAAAGCGCATTGCTTTTGCGATGTGCTGCGCTTTTATAGTGTGGACATGCTCTTGCACAAGAAGTTTTTGCAGAAGATCTCTTCTGCAAAAAGCTTCTTGTTTAAAAAGCTTGCAGTGTAGACGTAGCCTAGGTGTGTGGGTTACACATACACCACCAATAGTAAAATACTGCAAGCCTTCTTAATTCTAAAAAAAGGGGAAGGAAGACAACTAACCCATTAATCTCAATAACCAATGACATTATTCAGGAGGTCCATGTGTTTTTTCCTGTAATATGGTCTTTTATTTGAGCACAATGCAATTTTGTTATAAACATTGCTTCTTCTTTCAGCTGCAACAGTCGTTATACAATTAGTATCTCACTAAAGAAATCCTGAAGTACAATTAATTCACTACCTCTTCTATAATATTCCATTAATTAGTGGTAAAAATAGGTACATTTGCCAGACAGACTATGCAATTATATAGTAAGTAGAACTTTGGCACTCATAATATGCTAATAGACTGGTAATTAATTTATTTAATAATTATGTTCAACTGCCTGAAAATTAACTTATCTTTTTCCAGGTCTATTTTTTTCTGCACGGAATATACAATAGACAAGAACTGTGCAGACAAAAAAGAATTGAATTCATATTTATAGTAGTAAATAGTCTGTATTACCTGCCAAATCAACATGTTTTGCATGCTAGGATACACAGCAAACAAATATTACTTCTCTTTTCTTTGAGGTCTATCGTAATTGTACATGCCAGTGCCGAAAGTTAAACTAAGAAGTCATTTTTTGGTGGCAGGGACTAGTCCAAGCCCATCCCCAACTTTGGAGCAGCTCAAATGTTCAGGCCACAGGGTAGACTTGCTGGGTAGTGACCAGGAACCCTGGATGTCCGGGGCAGTTGCCACTTTTTCCCCCCAACCCCTGTCAACAGACCTGTCTTGCCCCATTTTTACTCACTGGTCATAATCCTGCAGGAGGCAAAACAGAAGCGGGAAAATAAATTCTCTTCTGAAGCCTTACGAGTAGCTTATAATAAAAAGTGCAACACTCATCATAAACTTTGACATCCCAGTCTATTAAGGGCAGACTGACAGTCAGTGTTTTGTTTTACAGAGACACCCAGGCCCACAGATGGGGAGAAAAGGTAGCAACTGCTCTAGGGCCCATCGATTCTAAACAGCTCAGGGCTCCAGGCTGCCGCCAGTGCTACAGCAGTGGTGGTGGCACTCAGAGCCTTGAGCCTTTTAAATTGCCACTGGAGTGCACTCTGGGCGGTGCTGAGGACTGGCTGCCTCAGCCCAGCCCCTTCTTCCCAAAACCCCACCCCTTCCAGGAGCATGGAACCGGGCCCTCCACCTTCACCTTGCCCAAGCCCTAGCATGGCTGTTGACTGTTGCCCATCCCTGGTTTTTTTTTTTTATAAACACTTCATCTCTGGTCATCTTATCATAGGTATTATTCTCATTCATCAGCCTAAGTCACTGCAGATCCACACACAGATCAGGCATGAAGGCACCATATTTACAGGGAAGTGAAGTGGATGGGGA